TATTTTTCTTAGCTATTTGAGAGCCAATTCTTGAAGAAATTGTCGTGTTCTTGAGCGTTTACTAGTTCACTCATATCTACTCTTTGTGAGAGTTTTATCCCTGAGTGTTTAAGTGTTTTCATACACTTTAAGGGAGGTTGTTCCCTTGTTGTAAACTCGAAGGAAATTACTTGTTCCTTCGTGAGAAGTCTTGGAGTGCGGTATCTCCGAGCAAAGGTGTTGAGGCTCGTGTGACTCGGATTCTCAAGTTGTATCGGTTTGTTAAGCACCCTTAAGCTTAACGGAGTTAGTGTAGCTGGAGAGAGTCTCTCGGGGGGCTGGATTAGCCACACGTTGTGGTGAACCAGGATAAAATTCGGTGTGCTCCTTCCTTACGCTCTTTTCTTTAACGCTCTCATTTTTTAATTTCCTGCGATTTTGTTTTAAACGCTATTCACCCCTCTCTAGCGTTGGGCCTATATTCTAACAATTGGTATCGGAGCCATACTCTCTGAAAGACTTAACCGTTTGAGAGAAACGATCAATGGCTTCTACTCAAAGTTCATACGCAGGTTTAGGTAAAGGGCAATCCACCACGAGGCCTCCACTATTTGATGGAACGAATTACACATATTGGAAGGAGCGAATGAGAATTTTCATCTAATCCAACAACTTTCTCCTATGGAGAATTATCAAGAATGGGGAAGAAGTGCCCATGAAGAAAGTTGGGGAAACCACCGTTCCCAAAACCGAAGAAGAATACGATGCGCAGGATATCAAGAAAATAGAGAACAACGCCAAGGCTATCAACATTCTTTATTGTGCAGTAAACCCGGATGACTACCGGAAGATCTCTTGTTGTTCCACCGCCAAGGAAATGTGGGACAAGCTAGAAATCACATATGAAGGTACGAATCAAGTCCGAGAAGCTAAGATAGATTTTCTGACCCATGAATATGAATTGTTTTGTATGAAGGAGAATGAGAAAATCGATGACATGTTTGAACAATTCTCCAAAATCGTTAATGATCTACATGCTCTCAAGAAGACGTACACGGACAAGGAGCTTGTAAGAAAAATCCTGCGGAGTCTCACACCGGAATGGCGCTCCAAAGCTGATGCTATCCAAGAATCTATCGGCATCTCCAGTGTCACCATTGACGGGCTTAGAGGTAACCTCAAAACCTATGAGTCTACCATTCTTTACCCCTCTTTAGGTGAACAAAAGAAGAATGGGATTGCACTCAAGGCGTCCACAAGTCAAGAACGTGATGTGGAGGACTCGAGTGACAAAGACGAGTTCGGGATCGTGCTCAAGAAATTCCATAAGTTCATGAGCCAAGAGTATGAACGGAAAGG